GGGGGGGGGGGGGGGAAATGACACAACACACACACACACACCCCCAAACAATTTGAATTTAATTACTGCCTGTGAAACCCTGCGGACACAAAAGACCACAACTCTGTATTAGGAATAAACTATCCCCACTGCTGTGTATCTATTGCTCACACATTGTTCCCTCTGTCTCTGTAGACATCTGTAGAGTTTCTTCCATTTTAACAGATGAAATTTGGAGTCAGGTACAAAAAAAAAAAAAACAACAACCCATACTTTGTTAAGAAATCAATTCTCAGTAAGGTCTGTCTTTTAGATTATTTTTTTTTTGTGAACAAAATTGTTTACTGGCCAATTACCATCCACCACACCTGAGTGACTTTACTCCTTTGTTCCCTGTTCTTCATGGGAAAACACACCTGACTGCCTCATCATTCCCTTCATATGAGAGTATGTTGCCATTGGTTGTAAATGGAATAAGAAAAAAAAAAAAAACCACAAACAAAGCAGTTGAACACCTGTGTGTACAGGCCCTTCATTAGGTTTCTTGCACTTTAACACACACTTGAAGAAAATCTTTCATTACATTTTAAGGATTGCTTAATTATGACATACCATCTTACAGAACTAATTATTTCAATTGACTAAAAAAACCCCATAGCTTAGTTTGCAGGGTATTTCAGCTATTCATCTCAAATGAAAATAAATGCACCTGATGTGCTAAAGCTCACCTGCAGGATAGGAATTCCAGGGCACAGCCACTGCCAGTTTTGAGTAGCTTTGTTGTGTTGTGTCTACCTCTGAGTAACAATACTCCAAAGCCCAAATTGATGCTGACTGGGAGAGTCTATTTCCTTACCCAGATCTAATACCTTTCCCAGGCATCTCCTAACTAGGTGAACATTTTACCTGACCCATGCAGTCAGTCCTTATCATGTAGAACAGCAGGTACTCAATTTCAGTGGTATTTACAAGTTCATATTTAAAGCTTTGCAGCAAGTACACACAAGGCTGCCAACATCTATCCAGACTGGCCGGAATGGCAAGGCTTTAAATTAAATCTAGTAATAAACTCTTCTCCTCTTCCTCAGGTGCTTGGTACTTCAACTGACTGACAGATAACTTGCTGGGAAGAGACAGTTGATGCCTCCTCCTTTCCCTTGGTCCCAGTCTCTGCTCGCTACACTGCATTTTTTAATCTTCCTGACCGCCCTCACAAGATGAAAACTTTACCACACATCTTTCACAAAACATTGGCCAGTACAGAAGTTTTCTTACACTGCAGCTTCCCATGATGGTGATACAGCAGATATTAAAGATACCACCTGCAGTGATAGTCTCTGTCAGGCAAAGAGATTAATCAGGCAGACTGACTTAATGATTGAGAAGCAAGCCGTGGTATGTTGAGGTATGGGTTCCCCAGTACAAAACAGTGGCAACTCACTACCTTCGTCTACAGTTCCTGCACAGCTCAAAGGTGAGCTACTGCTTCAGGCACATCCTGCACTGACCTTCTCTTTTGTTCATATCAGCTTGATAGCTGAATTTAAATATTTGTTTTAAAATAGTACTATTATCTTGCAACTAAGCCTCCATTAATCCTGGGTTACTCTTTCATCTGCACGAGGTACGAAGCTACCTACTTAAGCCTTCATGAAACGAGTTGTTCTCCTTGCTGCAGTGTTCTTCAGGGGGTTACTATACAGGCTTTCCCCACATTAAATGCATTAGACTTATTAGTAATTTGAAATACAGATTTATTCCCAGCTCCTTCAAAGCTTTTCTTTCAAACTGTCCAACATTGGAATTCTACTTTTAAACAAATCTTGAGTGTGTCCACCAACAGTATCTATATTAATACTATTTAGAATCTTAGTGTCTGTTTTTTATGAAGGACGATTATTTCACTGAAGTATCTCACTAGAAAGTGGTTAAATACATTAAATAGAAACTGGTTCAGCAGATAACACATTAAAAACCCCTTAATCTTTTTGAATACTCATGGTATAACATTCACCCTTAACGTCCGCTAGAACTGTCTTCAAGCACATTGGTCACAACATCCCACAAGTCTTAACACTTGACATAGCTGTGGAACATGAGAACAGCTAATATCAGAATTTCAAGGTTGGTAGTGCTTACACAATTCTTATAAAAAGGCATTTGCTTTTATGATATCTCAAAACAGTCACGAAAAACTGCACTGATAACTGAATCAAAAGGCAGCAAGTCATCTAATACAAACTCCTTTTACTGTCATTAAAATTCCTGTTCCTTTGACGCTCTCATCTGTAGAGAAGTTTACACACTTTTCATGTTTTGTTGACTTTGTTAGAAATTTTGCTGTTGCCTGTACAGACTAATTTTAGTAATCTTTGATTATTAATATCACAATACAGTACAGGTAAGGAGGTTGTTTACAAGGTTTTAAGTAGATCTAGTTAGTTCCTACATGGGCCTTTAAATTATTTTCCAGTTAGTTCCTTTGGGCCTTTAAATTACAAACTACACACTAAATGGATTAACATTCCTTGATTGCAACATACTTTGATTTAGGCAAAACAATCTGAAGAACAATTAAGACATACATAATTAAAAGGTCAGAGCATTCTAGTACCTTCTTAATTAAAGCAATCTTCATGTGCCTGCTTAGTTTCCAGATACTCAACACAAATCAGTCAATCACTGTTTTCTTCAAGTGAAATAACAAGAAATAACATTTCCAGACCCCTATCTCTGGAAAGGGGCATGCCTGGCACCTATATACACCACATATATGCCATCCTGGTCACAGTCCTTCATATCACTGTTCACACTCCTCCCATGCCTCTCATGTCACTGTCTGAGACAACTATACCCAACCCCTTACACACTGCTATTTCCAAAGGGAAATTCAATTTTTTCCAATTAGTAACTATCTGCATTACAATAAGCATTGCTGAAGTAACTTAAAGCAACTATCTTCCACTCTACAGATGGTTATTTTAGCATCAAGAGTGATTTGGTACACTCTGAACACCCTGGTCTGGAAATTATATGCAGCCACCTTCCTATGCCACACCTATTCCTCATCCTTTGTTAAAGGAATACTATGAACTTTAGAATTACCCTAATGGCAAAACACTTTCTGCCACATCTATTACTTGTGAATACGTTAACTGAGAATGTCAGTATTTTACATTCCTCTCAAAGATGGAAAACACTTTGTCTTGGCTCCCTCTCCCCTACTCAACTACATTTAACAGTTCAAATAGGGTATAGGGAAATTCTGGAGTAACAGCAGGATGTAGTTTTGCCTCCATTCTAGTCCAGAATTTGTACTAAAAGACCATTTCCATCTGTCAATTTTGGCAACATCAAGTCACTTTTGTCTCATTGTTCCTTGCTCTGATTTAGAAAGAATTAGCCTGGTATGTTTAAAAAATAATAAAAAAAATTCCTTATGAACCTGGAATATTATCATTCCACACAGATTTTTTAAAAGTAAAAACATAAGGCTAGATGCAAACCCACATGCTAGAAATGAATTGTATTCTCAAAATTACTCAATGCTTAACAAATCTGTTCAAACTAGTTATCTCTGCAAATCCATTCAAGGCCCCTGAATAAAAGCAGTTCCAAGCATACCCAGAAGCCCAATTTTGCATGCTGGATCAACAGTGTGCAGTAGTCAGTTGTGAGACCAACTAGGATCAAAAATAATCCAGTTCCAATTCAGACTGCGTTTAATTTCTGCTGATTTTCTTTAGTGCTGCCAAAAAACTATGAAATATGCCATGCTAGTTTAAATAGTTTCTGCATTTATCTTATCCACCTCAAAACCGCATATGATTGAATGCAAGTTTCCCCACATTTCACATAATCCTTTTAAGTCTTCAGTTCATGATTAAATGATTTTCCATTTTGAAATCCCACCACAGACAAGTCTTCATTACTTCATGATAAAAACTACACTATCATTAGCCAAGAAAATAGCATTTTAAACAAAAAACCCTACAAACTACAACAAAAAATGAGTCATAGAAACTTAACATCACTTGGAAACTAAGTGGTAAATGGATCATCATCCAAATTCCCAATTCTATGTAATGCCAAAATCAACAGCATTGTAAGGTGACAAAAAATAACAGTTAATACAAGATTTGTTAGTAGAAGCAACATTTTCCCGCATATATGTTTGTGCAGAGATCAGTTATGGCCACTTCAGTAAGCTGTTACATGCATGGTATCTGTCCAACCTTTTCAACACAGCATGAGTTCACGTGTTTTTAATCACACAATGTAATTTAAGCAGGAAGAAAATTAACATATGTGCTATTGTAGATATAATCCTAAAACGCTTTTAGCTTGCTATCTTAAATTATGGTTTAATCCATATGGATTAATATGGATTTAATCCATATGGTTTAATATGCAATTTATCAGACTGGTGACATATAAAGAAAGACACAGTACACGTTTTGGGAGACATTTTATTAATGTACAATTTTATTAGCAATGTACAATAGACATTTTAATTCTCTATGCAGTCTGTCTCCTTGAAGTTTGGTAAATGCTTGTTCATATATAAAACTACATGATGCTTTTTTTGCAAGGACCGGAATCGTGAAAATCTAAGTGCTACAGTATATTTTGTAGTGATTAAACAAGTTGTCCAGAAGAGTTACCAGCCACTTCAGTGAAGCACTTCTAAAAATGTTTCTGATCAAGTTCAAATGCACCTATTCATAAATAACGATTGGTTCGCTCATGTCCTTTATACTGCTAAGTACAACTGTCTCCAATATAAAATACCGTTACAATACATTTCTCTACATGGACAACTAGATACTCTAGTCATATTTACTTTTAACAAAAGCTAATACAAATTTACAGGTAAAGTCTAACTTCAGAATTCATTCAGAATAATTATTTTTCAACCAGAAGCTTTACTTTGGACAATGCAGAAGTATATTGCAAGTGACATTCTGCAGC